CCAGTCTACAGCTTTTTCAACATCAGCTTCCGCAATTGTTACGTGCACATTGCGGGATTTCGGCACGTGCCGAAATTTGTAAGCCTTCATGTTTGGAGAGAATTACAGCACCGGGTTTACGTTTGTCCGGACCCACATCGGGACCCACTCGACTCGTGCAGGAATCGTCGATCTGTTAGTTGACCCAAACATGGAAAACGATACGCATATGATGAAAACAATAATTGACATATTGAAATTAATTCCTTTTGTCATTACGGTATTTATTACGAGTCATCGTGCAATGAACGGCTTAGAAGATTCGATTTTTTTGGTTTACTTCAATGTAGCATTGCAAGAAAATACCGGTTGCAGCACATGAATATGCGTCGCCGACGACAATTTGCATTCATTCCATTCATTACTACTAGTTATGTGTTCCCTGAAAATTCACCACTGATTTCGGTTCGTGCCGAGCGTTCAAGTAGATCTCTAACGTGAACGCCACTAATGTGTACTCAAAAGTGACTTGGCTGAGAAACGATTACGTACTACAATATACTAACACTGACCACAGTCCCTATATCATAGAGGGATTGTGCACTGACACTCTTTTTTTAACGTTTGAAAGTAATGGTTTTAAGAAACATTCATTGTGTGTTTTAATCATAGGTTAATCAACAGTAGGTTTATAAGTTCAGTCACATCAGACAAAACAAATATCACTTGGTGCCACAGTGGTAACACCTCTTTTGTTGTAGAAGTAACACACGTGATTAGGAACAATGTATTAACCAACAAGTGTGAACTGTTGTGGCTAAGTTCAAGTGCAGCCCCTTACACGTTTTTTTCCAAAACGTAAAATATGACGGAACTTCGTTCTATCATAGCCCAACTAGACTTTTTAGATTTTTGAAATGTGACAAAATTGATCTAACAATGACGTACAAGAAGCGTGATGTATTGGAGCTAAACACGTCTGGGGGTACATCAATCTTCAAGCCTCGACTGTGTTTGTCGTTGATGGCGGGCTCATGATGCGTGAGTAATTGTACTTAACGAGCAATCTCTACCTACAAGGGCGCTATATACGAATCTGGACTAATTTTGTATACATGTATTGTCAACGCCCCCACTTAAAATTATAGTTAATACACATTTTAAATTGTATACACACCATGTACGGATAAATATTATAAGGTAGTTCCCGGAAAACGTAAAAATAAATGTAATTTACAATGGGCGTACTCTGCGTACATGACGTGGAAGAACACAAGAATACGCCGGAAATCGTTAACGTAATGATCGGTTACCCAGCTGTATATGCC